GTAAGTAAACAATCTTTTAAACTACCGCTAAGCGTTTGTGCCTAATTCCAGCTTGACGGCCTTCCCTCTCCGACCCGGCGTGCCTGGGCTTCTGGCCACAGCCCGCGTGCAGCACGGAAAAGGGCTCGGGTCGCTCCTGGCCCGTACATAACTCAGTATCTGTCCAGTTTCAGCCTTGAACTCCTCAGGCAGGGGTAGGCAAAATGGCGGATCCGGCTGGCAGCTGGACCCTATTTCCCAGCAGCCCATGCCCACATGGCTGGGTCCGGTCTCCATGGAAACCCCAGCTGCACCTGTGCTGTGATAGCACAAGGCTCAGGTTACCATGGAGACCATCTCCAGCCACGCTGGCAAGGCATGTAGCAGGGCAGGGCAGGGGGCTGCTCCAGAGCCGCTGGGTCTTGCGGCAGAGGCAACTTGGTCCGAAGCCAGGGCAGAGCCATGATCTGCAGCCTGCATGCTCTTGGCAGAGGCGCGCAGGCAGAAGATCACGACTCTGCCTCAGCTCCTTGCAGCGATGACAACTTGCTCCTGAGCTGGGGAAGAGCTGCAATCCGCTGCTTGCACACACCTCCCCAGAGCATGCAGGCTGCAGATCGTGGCCCTGTGCTGGCCCCAGACCAAGCTGCCCCTGCCGCAAGATCCCAGTGGCTCTGGAGCAGCCCCCTGCATGTCCTGCCAGTACAGCTGCAACCGGTCTCCAGGGCAACCCTAGTCTGGAGCTGTCACAGTGCAGGTGTGGCTGGGGTCACCATGGAGACCAGACCCAGCCACACAGGTAGGGGCTGCTGGGAAATGGAGTCCACTGCTGGCTATGGGCCGGACTTTGCCTGTCCCTTCTCTTAAGGGAACAAGCCCTTCAGATAGTGGAATATTTGAGCACAAGAATGGAAAATTAAGTTAAACCAGAGCAACCTACATTTACCTTTTATCTCAGTTCCTCAAGCCATTCAGAGCTGTTTATGTACCAGAACACAGACCATAGATGCATGGAGAGACAGGTATTTCAGTGTCATACAAACTACATAATTCACATTGTACTGTGCAGTATTCTGGAGCATCCACCAGTATTAGGTGCTTCAGAGACATGAGTTAGGAGAGTCCCTGCTTGGAAAAGTTGGCCATTGCTAGGAATTCTGTGAACACCAAAGCAGCCACTGCAGAAAAAATGAGAGGCGAGGCAGGAAATTTTGCCCTCCACATAAAAGCAGTTGAGATCATTACATAGACAGCAGATATGTCAAAAGAAGAAAGAGAGAGAGATTGCTTCACGGGGCTCCTAATTAGCAGTTCTGCTGACTTAGAGGGTTTGGAGTCTGTAAAGACACTTCCAGCACTGCTGAATCAGAAGGGAAGCCACCAGGTGATGCAGAGCTACAGATTCAGTAAGTACCAATAATGAGGAAAAAGCATGAGGCACTCAGAACTCTGTTAAAGCCCAGGGGAAGAAAGAAAATAAGAATATGGCATAGACTCATTTACACTGGTGTGTAAGCCTTTACCAGTGTAAACAAGGAGGGGACAGACATCATAAATGTCTATACTGATATAAGTGTCTCATATCCACGGTAAAGTTATGCAGGAAAATTAGGTAGCAAGAATACCTTTGTTTAAGAAACCCTGGTATAGGTGTTGCATGTTCACTTTCATCTGGGGACAGGTATTTGGTACTGGAAGTCAGGGTATTACTTGCTAGCCAGCCTCTAGATGATGAGGTCCTGTAACAGCACCTATGGGAAACAGCTAATCCCAGGAAGCTGCTCACTCAGAATATTAGTGTGCTTTTCACAGTTGGATACATCTGATGTGAATTAACTACTGTAAATGTGCTGTCTCCAAGGTCACTGATACCAACAGACAAATGTGTGGGATTTCAATGGGAACTGCTGTACACCTGAGAACTACGGTACTCATTTTAATCCAGAAGCTCTGCTTGCTTGCAGCAAGGGCAACTCCAGAAAAGCAATCACAGGAGTAAAACAATCATCTACAATAGGATCGACCCTATTGAACTTTGTTTTTTATCATCGGCTACACACCAATGCAGTTTCTTGGTCCAGCAGAGAAGGGCACATATGAATAGGGGTTCCTTCCACTAGAATTCTCAAGGAAGAAACGCTCAGGTCTGAATTCTTCTGGGTCTGGGAAAACATTTGGATCTCTGTGCAGTGCATAGGGAAAAATAACTGCATTTGTTCCTTTTGGTATCTTAAATCCTCCTACAAAAAAAGAACCAACAGGCCAGGGAAGTAAGTAACTGTCAGTAAACAAACACATGGAAAAACACTATTTACTTATAAAATACCTTAACTGAAATACTTATATGTAAAATCATAACTACACATGTAAGGTTTAGAACTACTTACTAATAAAGCAATCTTGATTCAAGGTCCGGGCAAAGAAAGGCACTGAAGGGAATAGACGAAGGGTTTCCTTAATAACACACTCAAGATAGCGTAGCTCCTTCAAATCCCCCATTGTGGCAGGACGGTCAGAGTCACCTATAGAAGATCACAAGTGTGTTAGAACTACAACTGGCCTAATAAGCTAGCTGCATTAGTCTGCAGCCAGGCAAGGCAGAGTGCCGCCTTACAGAGTAACAAGGGAGGATTTATGCTTCCAGCTCCCGGGAACCCAGGCCAGGCAACTTTTATTTACTGCCCAAGATCCTATCAACCCAGAGTGCCCCACTGTCTCTGGCACTGGCACCACCACAGAGGAGTTTCTTACTACACTGACTCTATCCGAATCCCATGTGTCACTAGAACTGCCAGCTATTTGAGGGACACCAAAGATTTCTTCAAGAAACTAGGTTCCACTGACAAGCTTCCAGCAACTACAATATAAGCTATCATGAATGTTACATCTATGTACACCAACATCCCTCATGAGGACAGATTACAAGCCATAAAGAACAAAGATACTGCTTCTATTTCCATTGTACTCTTCCTCTTTGTCCTCACACACAACTGTTTCAGATTTGGAGTCTGTCTACACCTCCAAATGGCACTCCCATGTACAGTCCCCCTGTATGCTAGTATATTTACGACAGACCTTGAAGTCCGCTTCCTCCACAGTTGCCCTCTGACCCCCGGTATACCTAGGAAACACAGGAGATAGCTTCACCATGTAAACACAGGGATGGAATCTCTAAGAGAACTGTTACCAGGAATATAACAACTTCCATCCCTCCATCAAACTAGAATACTCCACCCAGGAAATTAATTTCTTAGGCACCACTTCTGAAAGTTTGCAGTGGCCACACATTCCAAACCACATTGTATCAGAAATCAACTGACCCCTACAGCTACTTCTATACCAATAGCTTTTGCCCTAAGCACACTACTAGCTCCACGATCTACCTGCTCTGATCCCACCAATCAGGTTGTATACCTTAAGGATCCAGAGAGGGGATACCTATACTTACATTATAATCCAAGAACTGTAGCCACTCAAATCAAAATAGCCAGACTCGCACCCTACTTTGACTTACTACAATACCAACCCTGTAACAAATACAACAGAATCCCTCAGGCTGTCAGCTACAACCCATAGGTTACAAATCTTGGATACATCATTAATGACCTCCAACCCTCCCTGGAGATGATGTTCTAGCTTACAGGCAGACCCTAACTTCAAATGACACATCCCCAGACTACCTAACTCCTAGTCTCACCAAGGCACCAGGCCTTGCAATGAACCCAGTTGTGCCCCCTCAACAACATGAACCATTTCATCACTAGACCAAACAACATGGATTGCAACATTCAGGGTTTATTCACCTACTCCTCTACAATGTCACATGTCATCACATGCTTACATTACTCCTCTGCTGTCTACACTGGACAAACGAGATGATCCCTGCATGAAAGAATGAATGGATGCTGATATGACATCAGTTCCAGAAAGGCAAAAAAGCCTGTAGCAGAACACTGTCACCTTCCTGGAGAATCCATCACTGACCTCAAAGTAGCTGCTCTTAAGCAACAAAACTTTAAAAAATGACTTGAACATGACATTGCAGAAGAAATCATCCAGACTGGATTGTGGATGTAAATGTGATCTAAACCAGAGCTGTCCAACAGACAGCCCTCAAGGAGTTAACCTGAGGCCCCTGGGCTACCAGTCCAGTTGACGCTTCCCCCATGGCTTTCCTGCTGCTGAAGCTGCTGCCAGAAACTCAGACATCCCCCTCCCTCCTCTGGCTTCTACTTCCTACCCCTGCCTCTGGGGGTGAGGTAGGGCACGGTGGCCCACAAGGCTGAGGGAGTCTGTGGCCAGGGAGCGCAGAAGGAAATCAGGGACCCTGCACACCAAAGGAGTAGCAATGTGGTACAGTAGGGGTTGCCCTCTTTATGGCACAATGTGGCAGGGGAGGGGATGCAACAGCATGGTGCAATGGCACCAGCAAGGTGCAGCAAGAGAGTTTCCGCCACACAGTGTGGCAAGGGGGGCCCATGGAATACAGTATGTGGCCCAAGTAGCATGTGGCCTGGGGGTGTACAGCATGTGGCTGGCATACCTGTGGCCCCCACCTAGTCAGAGTGGGACTGCCCTACTCTAGACAGAGACTACAGATTCATACCTCATTACCTGGGCTAGCTTTTATAGTCCCTATGTCCCTATGGTTTACTTGCATTGTTTACTACCTTTGCCTCTCTCACCGGTGTCTCCTCTCCTTTCCTCCTCCCCCTTCCCTATCCTTTGTATTTCAGTTACGCTTTCTATTTAGAACCCCTGTTCCCTGCAAGTCCATTCATAGCACCTGATGAAGTAAGTTGTTATCTATGAAACCTTATGCCTCTCTGAAGTGGTTAATCTATAAAGGCATCTGTACATATGCGCTGGAGTAGTGAGGGGGCACTTTAATTAATGTGACTGCAGCATCACATATATTCAGCATCCCATGCTTCAAAACTGGCAATGGGGGCACTTGAACTAAAGCTTGTTTGACAAACTTTAGTTCAAGCACCCTTGCCGCCATTTTGAAGTGCAAGGATGCTGAACAGATGTGCCGTGGAGGCTGCTGGAGGGAGTTAATTAACATGCTCCACAGACTGAATTAAATCGAGTCTGCTCTGACGTGTGCTAATTAGCACATGTCAAAGCAGATGTCTGGCACATGTATAGGTCCCCTAAGGTACCACACTGTCCTGCCTTATGCCTGATTAGACCGAACATACCTCCTTAAAATACCAACAACTTAATGAGCGTTCAGTTGTGCTTATGGGTTTCAATCATTCCCCTATAGGCAGGCTCATATTTCACTTTACACACCAAAATGGCAGTCACCCAGCTGACTAAGTGCCATTGACCTGAGCATAAGTCTTGAATTTGTGGCCTGGCAAGAAAGCTGGATACTCTCCCAGAAAACTGGAGACTCAGGATCTGAACTCCTGTTATACACATAGACTTTGAACTTGAATCCCTTTGACTTACCAGCATAGTGGTTTGACCACCAGGCCACAACCTAGACACTATATATACAAACCTCCCCCTCACCAGCTGTTCTTTAGAAATTGGCTCAGGGCAGCCAAGAGCTGGCAGCCATGAGGACAGGAGCACAAAGTAATTAAAGGTATATGGCTCAGTAAGTTACAGGATACTGTAGAAGAAAAAAACAAGACCTGGTTCCAGTCTAGCCTTCTGCTCCCAATGGGATAGAAATGTCCCCACTGTTCTTATCCATTTCCTTTAATATTAATAAATATCCAAATAATATAAAAATGGAAGGTATGGGGCCTCAGCTTCAAGACTCACTAGTCATAGGGATTTGCCAGACAAAGTTTTGTGACTTACACTTGCTAACATATGGAGCCATGGCCAGCCAGCACCCAGACTCTTGCATATGCTCAGCAGTCACACAATGCTTTTACATCCACACAGGATGTTGAGTAGGATCAAAAACTACACCAAGTGCCAAAAAAGCTGCTGGGTAACTGCCATTTGGACATATAAATTGAAATAGAGTCTATCCTAAATGTCTCTCTCTATGATGTTACTAAATTGTCATTCTACTACCTTATTTGCTCACATACCACAGCCCTCCAAAACTGGGGTGGAAGCTGTAAGGAAAGCTAATTTAGGTATTTATGTACTAGCATCTAAGCAACCTATTTCAACTGCCCTGGATGTCTCCGTATTTAAAGAATATTGGCTGCTCATGCAGTGGTGGGGTAAGTGTTTATTTTCCTTTATACATCTATACACATAAAGGAACATGTACATTACATTACAGCCTGAACCAAATCCAATTCACAGGAGGTTGGAAAGCTTACCAAACACTTCATCCAGTTCCCTGTGCACTTTCTTCTGGACTTCTGGATAACTTGCAAGTAAGTATATGGACCAGTTCAGACCAGCAGCTGTTGTATCATGGCCCTATAGATGCAGATTTGCCCAGATAATCAATCTGAATTCTCATTGCACATATGCACTGAAATATTTATACCTACAACTCTTAAAGGAAACAATCTTAGTTACAAAAATTAAGAACCAAAACTATAATATTAAATACTGTTTATCCTACATGGTGATTAAAGAATGAATAAAGAAAAATTTTGTGAAATAAATGGGACCATTTACCAAGCAAAAAACCCTTTCCTTGTTCCTAAACCATTCTATGTTAGGTGTGTTAGGGGTCTGCCTCTGCATTTATGATTTCTTACTCTAGGAATCCATTTTTTTCCTGAAAAACGAGACTCTTTACTATAACTTATACGGTTTCAAGGCCCTCTTAATTTTCTCTTATTCATGTAGAGCTATAGGGAGTTAAAGGAAAAAGTTTATCTTCTTATATAAAAAAAGCTCAACTTCATAGACATAATATCTCAAGCTCTAAAAGACCCCAGTTCATCCAAGTACCTCAAACATGAAAGTGTCCACTTCCTCTCGAATATCTAGGTAGCTCAGTTTGTTCCCTTCCTCATCAGTTGCATTCAGAAGCATGTCAAGGAAAGCTCTTCTCTTTTTTGATTCACTTGATTTGCAGCTGTCAACGAAGTCACATTTACTTCCTTGGTGGTTCTTCATCTCATTGGCTTTTTCTACAATAACCTTAAGTAATAAATAATAAATATATATTTCATGGTTTAGATTCTGCCATCTCCAACACAAGTGAAAAATATCCCTGCATCCCTGACTCCAAATGATGTATTGCTCACTCATGGGAACACATATACTTTCATCACTTAATACAGGGGTGGGCAATTATTTTGGCCGAAGGGCCATTTAATGAGTTTTGGTGAGCTGTTGAGGGCCACAAGTGTAGCCCAGCTGCTTGACAGGTGCCCCGCCCCCGGTTGCCATCTTGGGACTGGAAGTCCTGCCCCCAACCCTTGACCTTTGCCCCCAGAAGTACTCCTTTTGGGAGGGGGTGGGGAGGGGATTGCCATCTTGGAACCAGAAAAAAAGCAAATCAAATGGTAAAAGTCAAACAACTACTATAAGATATTTTAATTTTATTTCAAAAAATATTTTTGTCCTGATTTACATGTTTTTGCATAATGTATATCGAGGTGATTGCATAATAGCTCAAAACAAAGTTTTAGTCTTATATAATATGTGTGGGGTGTGTGGGGGGAGTTTGTGGGGTGCGATTGGGTGTGTGTGTATGTGTGGATGGATTTGGGGTTTATGAGGGGTTGTAGGGGTGGAAGTGTGTGTATGTGTGGGGTTTGTGGAGCAGTGTGGCTGTGTATGGGGAGAAGGGTGTAGAGGGGTGTGGCTGTGTGTGGGGGGATGATGTGGGGGGTGATATGATTTTGGGTGTGTGGGGTGGTGTGAGGGAGGGTGTGGGTGAGGCCCTGAGCTCCAACCCGAACTCTACTGTGCAAGTGACTCCATTTGCAGCCCAGCAGGGTCCAAACGAGGGAGCATCCCATTGGCTGGTCTCCCTGGAGAAAACTGAAGCAAAAGTTTTGGATTGGCATGAACCCACTCACACGTGCCTGGCTCCTGGCTCAGGAGCTGCACATGCAATCAGGTTCCCACCAATCCAGTATTTTGCTTCGGTTTTCATTAGTGGCTAGGACAGAGACAACCTCTGAAATCTTGGACTGTCCCAGTCAATCCAGGACATATGTTTTTTCTACCCTGACTAAACCATCCCAGTCAAGTGTCTGACTAAGTCTTAAAAATGTCCAAAGATGGAGATTCCACAACCTCTCCAGGTAGACTGTTCCCTTGCTTAACCACCCTCATAATGAGAAAGTTCTTCCTAGTATCAAACCAAATTTCCCTTGCTAGAATTTTGACCACTGCTCTCATCCCCTGCAGCAACAAAGAATAGTCTATCCTCATAGGTATCATAACCACCCTTCGGATATTTGAAGACTTATCAAAATCCCCTCCACCCCATAGTCTTCTTTTCCCCAGACTAAATAATCTTAGTTCTTTCAGCCTATTCTTATAAATCATATTTTCCAGGTCTGTAATACTTTGTTCCACTCTCTGCTTGATTCTAACTTGTAAACATCTTTCTTGAAATGAGGAGCCCAAAGCTAGACACAATACTCCACATAAGACCTCACCAGTGTGGTGTAGAGCTGGAGAATACCTTTCTTTATTTGCAAGTGGTACTGGAGAATACCTTCCCTTGATTTGCAAATGGTGCTCCTATTAATACAGCTCAGTATACTATTGGTTTTTTTTGTGCAATAAGAGCACACAGTAAGCTCAGATTCAGCTTATGACCCACCATGAAACCCAGGCCATCTTCTACAGAACTGCAGCTTAATTAGTTCTTCTCCAGCTTTCATTCCAACATGCAATTGCTCCATCCCAAGTGCAAGACTATGCACTTGTCCTTGGTGAATTTCATTTGATTGATTTTGCACCATTTCTCCAGTTTACCAAGATCACTCTGAATCTTAGTCCTACCCTCCAGAGTGTCTGCAATTGCACTGAACTTGGTGGCATTGGCAGATTTACTAAGTGTACATTCAACCCCATCCTTCAAATCATTTATGAAGATATGAAACAATATTGTGCCCAGGACAGACCTCTGGGAAGACTCACTTGATAACTCTTCCCAAATAGACACCGATACATCGTTGAACATGATAATCCAACCAGTTACGTACCCACCCTTACAGTACTTTTGTCTAGTATGAAATTCCTTATAGTAGTGAAGATAGATAAAAGTTTCACAAGGATGGTGGATAATGTTAAAGATATTAAGATGAGGACCTGTGCACATTTTTAGCACCAAATAAATACATTCTATTACTTACAGGTTCATGCTGCTATTGAATAATATCCACGTTACAAGTGATTTTAAAACTGAAGTATTTCTTCTCTTCAACACCTTGCTTTTGGTCTCAATACCAATACACACAGTTGTATTTTCACACCTCTCCCCCAGACAAAGTAATGCTGTTACTAAAGATGAAACACTCTGCCACCACCTTTCAATTTAGAGTATCAGTACAGACAACAGCAGTTTGCTTTGTGAACTAGAGAACAGTGGGAAACAAGGAATAACAAATTACCTTGTCTGTAAAACTGTGAAGGATCTTGAGAGTTCTGTCACTCTGCTTTCCTTCTTGGAACAAAGCATATAAAAAATCAGGCCAAAGCCAAGGTGTCTTCTGTCTCCGGTGAATCAAATCAGTCATCCTAGGGCACCAAAAATACATCATTATATTTCATTCTAAATGTACACCAAAAAAATCTTCTGAAGAGCCTAGAAGTGTCTAAGAGTCCTGATACTGATTGGGGAAAAACCCACTTGACAATGCAGACACTATTTTAATACAATGAATATTTTATTTTTTTAGTTTATCGTAACACTCAATATCTGCTATTGCAGTTTTTGTGTCTTATTACATGCTGACTTCAGTGACATGTATTCCCTTATGCAAGAAGCCTGGCAATATAAAACAAATCTAGAGCCAGTATTTTTTCTGGGATATACTGCTGCTAACCTGAATTAACTCTACAGATGTCCTTGGTTTTAATGTGGATTTACACTAATATGTCAGAACAGAACCTTGGGCTATTTTTATAAGTATTTATCTTATAATTTAAATATTGCATCTGTTTTCAATGCCGCCACAATTCTAATGTATAAGCAATGCCATCTGATAAACAAATTAAGGGGAAAAAAATCCTGACAGAATTTTGTAGAGAAGATCATATACTTCTAATGTAAGAAAATGTGTTCTGGAACAGATATATTATTAATTAAATCATCTAGTCCATCCTTATTCTAGTGCATTATTTAATATGTTCTGTGTATATCTATAAAGCTCTCAAGAGCAACAAAGTTAGCTCTATTGTCTAAATCAGCCTTTCAATCCCAAGAGTGGAACTGGGTCTTAAGTTTGTAACACACTTTCTAATACTTTTTGCCATCTAAGTTTAAGTCTGAAAACAATGTTGCAAAGGTTGCTCCAGTATTATCTGATGAAGGCCCCTAAGATCTGATTCTCATTTACAGTACAGTATAGCCCCTTTACATTGTTCAGGTAGAAGATAGAGACCTTGAAGATAGACTAATTACAAATACATTTTCTTCAAGACCCCTTTAGGTTTTGCTGGTAGCGTAAAAGGAGCCCAGCAAAAATGAGAATCAAGCCCTTCAACTCTACACTGGGCCTCATTTCATGATGATGTGCATGAAGCATGCAGCTCTACTGAAGCCAAAGAATTAGCTTCATTGTTGTGCAACAGCTTGTTGAGTCTTCTACACTAGTACACTTAGGGCATGTCTACAAGTGAATTTACCTGTACGATTTAGGTACATGTCTACACGTGCATGTCTTAAGGCACCTTAATGCAGCTCATTGGGCGAATGCATTTGCAGCCTGCCCTGGTCAGCACCCTGGCCAGCTGCCCCCACACAGCTGTGCTGTAGCCTGTGGGCGGCGGGCGGATGCCATGGTGGGAAAGTGGCTGGGGGCAGCGTGAGCAATGAACGCATTCCTGGCAGAAGAACACAAAGAAAGGTATGGGGTGCACTCAGGGGCCACCAAGAAGAAGAGGTGGCAGGTGCTGTTCTCCAAGGCACAGATCCTGGAGCTGGAGCTGGAGCTGGAGCTGGAGCGGCGGTTCCAGCAGCAGTGGCATCTGTCGGTGTGCTGACAGACTTGGGAATAAGTCGGCAGAGGGGGAAGGAGGCACAAGGGCTCCTGTCAAAGCACAAGGGAAAGCCCCCCCAGCCCTTGCCACCACTCCCTGCAGGGGTAGGGGGCAGCACACCATGGACAACACAGGCCCTGCAGTGTGCGGTGCTGGCCTTGATCCCATGATCGAGGAGGGGGAACAGGCAGCACAGTCAGCCTGAGGTGGATTAAGCTGGCTAGCATAGGTCTGCAGGAGCCATGGCAGCAGTGGGTAGGCAGGATCCCTGATGAGGAGGGGTGGGACAGTCACATCACCCAGCTGCAGGTCCAGGACACCTGTTGCAAAGCTCCCATTCTCCACCAGGCCTGGCAGAACAGAGTTCTGGAAGACTGGGGCACCATGGGTGCTGCCAGCCCAGCTGGTACTGATGTTTGTGAATGTACCTCAGTGGTCCACCACAGCCTAAAGCATAACTGAGTAGAAGCCCTGGCAGCTGTAGTATGGGCGGTTCCCCCTGGAGTCAGCAGGTGAAAGGGATACATGTCCCACCCAGAGCCCTAATGCATGACAGAAAGCCCAGGGCTTGAAATCCTGCCAAGACCTTAAGGGGGTCGCTGGCTCAGAGCACAGTGTGACCCAGCATGTCCTGGAGGGCACCACAGACCTCCAAGACAGCCTCCCCAGTGGTCACCTTGGCCACCCTGAAGAGGTGGCCAACACAGCTCAGGTTGGCAGGCGTGGAGAGCTTGAGGAAGGTGATGGCCACCCAGGTCTCCATGGGGAGGGGCAGCTGCATTGTGGTGGGTTGCTGCTCCAGGTATGGGGCGAGCTGGATGTTTAGCTCCTGGAATGTGGTCCAGGTCATCTGAAAGGAGTCCACCCATTGCTCATCATTCCAGGTGTGCTGCATGATGCAGAGCCACCAGTCCTGGCTCACCAAGCAGGCCCACAGGTGCTGGGGCTGAAGCCCCAGTTCATGGATGGCACCTGTGGTGGCATCCATGTGAGTATCATTGGCATTCCT